TCGAAATATCGTATTCTTAATATCATTTCAAAGTACTCATGACCTAATTTATAACATCCTTAACGGTTTGTGAAACGGCCAACCGTAACAAGAGTTACAACACGTTGAAATATGTCGTTCCAAAATATATAAATAGTTTTTCTTATTTTTGTCTCAATTTTCGGGATTATTACGGAATGTCAAATGAAATCAAAATATTACATTTTTAAGACCATTTTCAAAGTGTCACGACCTAGTTTCCGCCATCCTTAATGACGTTTGAAACGACCAACCGTAATGAAAGTTACCACTCGTCAAACTAGGCATTTTTCAAAACATATAAAAGATTTTCATTATTTTGTCTCAGTTTTCTAGGTCATTACGGGATATCAAACGAAATTGAAATATTACATTTTTAATACCATTTCGAAATGCTCATGGTCTAGTTTCCTCCGTCCTTAAAGGCGTGAAAAAGGGCTAACCGTAGCAAAAGTGTCACGCATTGAAGTAGCCAATAGTAGCAAACATTGCATTTTTGAATTCCTATTTTGGAACGGCCTATTTTGATGAGTGTTAACTTTTTATACGGTTGGCCATTTTACGCTCCGTTAAGGAAATCGAAAATTAAACCATGAGCACTTCGAAATGGTTTTAAAAATATAATATTGTAATTTCGTTTGATATTCCATAATGACCTCGAAAATTGAGACAAAATAAGGAAAATAATTTATACATTTTGAAAATGCCTAATTTGACAAGTGATAACTTTCACCATGGTTGGTCGTTTTGCATGCCGTTACAGATGGCGGAAACTAGGCCTTGAACACTTTGAAAGTGGTATTAAGAATACAATATTTCGATTTCATTTGACATCCCGTGCTAATTTTGAAAATTGAGACAAAAATAAGAAAAATCATTTATATATTTTGTAATGGCCTATTTCGACAAGTAGTAACTTCCGCTACGATTGACCATTTCGCGAGCCGTTAAGGATGCCATAAACTAGGATGTGAGCACTTTGAAATGATATTAAGAATCCGATATTTCGATTTAGTTTGACATCACATAACAATCCCAAAAATTTAGACCAAAATAAGAAAATCATTTATATATTTTGAACGGCCTATTTCGACGAGTGGTAACTTCCGCTACGGTTGGTCATTTCGCAAACGGTCAAGGTTGCGATAAACTAGACTGTGAACACTTCGAAATGGTGTTAAAAATGCAATATTTTGACGTCGTTTAACATTCCCGTAATAATTCCGAAATTTGTGACGTGAATAGGGGGGGAAAAAGGTAAGGGGCAGGGGCGTGGTGTGGGTAAAAGTTGGGCGGTTGGGAGTGTCAGGAAATAATTAATGCGCGGTTTCACATAAGATTTTTTGAATTTCTGTACGTTTTCTGTATGAAATTTTCTGTCCGCCAAGCTTTATTAAAAAAAAATTGTCCAATCTCATAATAATGGGCTCAAACGGGGGCTTTCGTAAACGCCAACCGTTGACTAAATATACTCACAATACAATTTTTAATAATTACTACATTTTAATTGCAAAAAAAGTTTCATAGCATTTTCACATTATTATATTTACGTCTCAAAGTTTTATTTCATCATATTCTTATTATCAAACTAACATCAATTTCATTATGATTTCTATTCAAAATTTTCTTTAAAATAGATTAAAAATACTCATTTACCCCCTTTGTATCTTTAAATACATAAAATAAATAACAATGTAAAAACAGATTAAATTTTTGAGCCTCATTTTAAAGCACATTAATAATATTTTTGGACAACATTTTGATTAAAGACAAGATTTTCCTAATCAATGAAATATTAAAAATAAGAATGTAATAAAGGAAAAAATTAAGGATATAAGTATTGTAATGAATAAAGGTTAATGATATTTAATGGAATTAAAATGTAATGTATCTATAAAAATACATGGTGTCAATATAATCACCTTACTTTAACTTTAATATTTTAGATTTAAATTTTTTTAATTGAAAAGAAAAAGAAATTTATTAAAATTTGATAGATTTTGCTAAAAAGCTCCACCAAATAATGTGTTTGCTTATTTTAATTTAATTTCACGCAAACGAGAAGAAAAGAAAGAAAAATAAATGGAGACGTTGACTAGAAACTTGTAAACCAACTTCTAAACCGTTAGATCAAATCTTATTGACGACTCAGAGATCAACGATGTCCAAGACAACAGAAATCAACATCTTGTGAGCAGAACTCGCACTCTTACATAACGTAGAACAACAAATTTTTCTTCACGAAAAGTTGAGATTCGGCAGAAAAAATATTTCACCAGTTTAAATGGATGAAACAGAGATACGATTACTGGAGTATGCTAGAAATGGAGACATCAGCGGTTTGTATTTCATGATCCAGCAGAATCCTAAATACTTGGAGAGTTTCAACGAAATCCAATTCGTGAATACTCCCTTGCATTTAGTGGCTGCAGCAGGGTATACAAATTATGCCATTGAAATCATGAATCTAATGCCGTCTTTTGGAAGGACGCTCAACACCGAAGGTCTGAGCCCGCTTCATCTCGCCTTACAAGAACACCGGGCTGAAACCGTTATAGCTCTGATAAGACTTGACAAGGGACTTATCCGTGTTAAAGGACGGGAAGGGATGACTCCATTGCACTATGCTGCCAAAACGAATAGAGTCGATCATTTAGCAAAGTTTATTTATGATTGCCCGGATTCCATCGAGGATTTGACTAACAGGTTCCAATCTGTGGCTCATGTTGCATTGGAAGATAACAATTTTGAGGCTTTTAATCTCGTCTTCGGGTGGCTCAGAAGGAGGGGAAGAGAAGATGTGCTGGGATGGAAGGACGTGGAAGGGAATACAGTTTTGCACATTGCAGCATTGAAGAATCAAGTCCTGGTATAATCATCGTTTCTTTGCTCAAGTTAATTTGTTTTAGGTCTCGTCTACTTCCTACATTGCTTGCTTTAATTACAGACTAATTTTTTTCGTTTGTGATTCTTCTACCATATATATACAGGTAGTGAAAAGGTTGGTCAACCTAGTACGAATAAATAAAAAGAATTATGCGGATATGACTCCTATAGACATTGCTGTTAGCAAAGAAAACAACGATGTTAAAGAAGTTTTAATTCGTGCAAAAGCCAAAAGGGCACGGGAACTGTCCGAGTTTACCCTAACACAATATTTGTGCTCACCACCGGGAATTATTGAAAAAGTGTTCAGAAATTTTATTCTTGTGCGGAAGGATTTGTCTATTGACATGCGCAATTTTGTGTTACTGGTGGCTGTATTGATAGCTACCGCTACATATCAAGCTGTACTGAGCCCTCCAGGTGGAGTCTATCAAGGAGATGCCAACACTAATAACACTGTGAACAAAGTTGCTGGAGACACCAATATTCCAATTATAAATCCGTCGTGGGAGCCCAAAAATAGCCTTACTGGTACAATGGTCATGCCGAAGCTAAAATACAACATATTTATGCCAGCGAATACTTTGGCTTTCATTCTCTCTCTTTCAGTGATAGTCTTCGTGCTGCAAGCTCGCGCTTACACGATAATCTTGGATGTTTGCCTCATATTTCTTGCATATGGCTACCTCATTGCAATGGTATGCATATCGAATTCTTCTAATGTTTCTCGGATTCTATCCTCCCTTTCTTGGTGCACTATGGTCCTTGTTTTCTTGTTGAAGATGTTTTATTATCTGGTGAAGGCTAAGTGCGAGGCCAGGAATCGGTCTAGCATACTTAACCTTTTTGACAAACTTCCTCAAGAAGTCTATATGATAAAGTGCATAAGAAGAATGGTAATGCAATACCTAGTGCTCAAAAAGTAACTCAGCCCAAGTATTCGGAGACAAGGAGCCAAAACCCCCAAATACTAGTGACGTTTCTTAGCGGGTGTTTGTGCCCCATTATTTGCAAATAATGTATTATGAAATAGTGATTGATGTTGAAATGTGTGGTTAAAAAAGAAATAAAAGTTTTTTATTTTCATGTAATATTATTTTAATGAAAAATGTGTGATTGAAAATGAATACTGTAGAAAAAAATAATGTGGTAGAATGGTAGACAAACAAAGCTTTAATGTTTGCTCTTCGTTCACTTGTTATTATTATTATTATTATTATTTTTTAATCTATTCATTTGTTTGTATCATTGGTAAAAATAAGAATAATGACTTAGTCTGAAACTGGAGTTTGTGGCTGGTGACCATTCATTTGCAAATTTGACAATAACTTGAATGGACAAGTGATTTATGAAATCCCCATATCCATTCAATTAAAGTGGCTGAAACTCAAGTTTGTGGCTGGTGACCATTCATTTGCAAATTTGACAATAACTTGAACGGACAAGTGATTTATGAAATCCCCATATCCATCCAAAGTAGCCCATATACTTTCAAATGTTTGTTTTTGGCAGCAGATACATTTCTATCTTCAACTCAACAGTTTGATTCTGGGGTGGGGTGGAAGGATCTTGACTCTTACACATTTCACTCATTTACACCAAATAAACAGCAAAATTATGGACAATGAATGGTGTAGCTAAGAGAATTTAACCACACTTTAGCTTCAGAAAAATATAATTTTTTCTCTCCCCTGACTCAGCTTAATCTAACAGACCCTTAAAATCAATGTCACAAAGCACAAGGCCCTCTCGAGACCATACCGCAAAAAGTAGCAAATACGATGGCACAGGATGTGGATATGAATCTAGCCGAGAAGCGTAGTGCTAGTTTATAAAGATATGTGGTGTCAATATAATCACCCCCTTCTTTAACTTTAATATTTTATGTTTAAATTTTTTTAATTGAAAAGAAAAAGAATTTTATTAAAATTTGGTAGATTTTGCTAAAAAGCTCAACCAAATATTGTGTTTACTTATTTTAGCCCCTGTTTGGTTCTCATTTTTTTCTCATTAAAATGAAAAATATGACCATTATCCATCACATCAAACCATCAAATTTAAATTTCTATCTTTTGTGTAGAGCTCGTAATGGCTATATTTTTCATTCTCATTCTTTCAAAAATGAGAAACAAACGATTTTTCATTCTCCACTCACTGAGCTATCAACTCATATATTTTTCTGTAATTTTTCCTACAGGTAGTAATTGATTTTCTTTTTAGTTGGAAGAGTCTAATGATTTTGGAATAAGAGCCACACGACATGCTGAGTTTTATAACTCATATTGATGAAGTAAAAAGTAAATAATTTTGGCCCATCTCATTATATTTTACATAGCATTTGATTTTGATGCATTTTTTGCGGTAACTCATAGTTAGTCTTGGTGATAGAATTGACATATAGTCAGCATTTATCATCAGCGCACGTCACGTTTCAGATCCACTCGGATAATTCGGGATGGGTCGTGTCAGTTCTCCCCAGCCTCGAGCCGAGAGGGCTAGAGCTTTTTTCGAGCCTACGAGCTCGATTGTCGTTCTACTTATATCTCAAGCAAGCATTGAAGAGGGAAGTGGAGGCTCATTGATTAGGGGCCATGCTCGGCTCGTGAATTTATTTTTTTCTGTAATAGATAAGACCCCCTCTTTTTCTCCAGTCTATCAGTTACTTAAGTTTTCGAGTTGGCTGGGTTAAAAATTGTACACGAACGAATTGTTACGCGTACAATTTTTTAAAAACATGAAAATAGTATTGTAAAATAAGAAATTTTGATTAATATGGTTAAATTAAATATCACTTACCTAACCACATGCAATTTCGACATATTTATCTTGCAGTCAAAAATGACCATCTTGTCAATCCTTTAGGCACATTAATGTTTTTAAAATATCTTTTTCAATTGGTTATTGACATCGAACAGAACCCTCTTACCTACACTAAAAGCAAACTTCGGAGTTACAGTGCTAACTAAAGGTGTCAGGAGGTCTTTTGCAATAGCAAAAATCACTGGTCATCGTTATTCGTACTTTCGCCAGAATTCAATTACTTCTTTTGAAATTTTTTTAATTACTTTGTTATTGGGCATAATCTAGTGCATTTGCATCATATCTATACGTATTAACTGCCTTCAAATATATTTAATATTTCAGCGCGTCTTCTTCCATATCAGAGGGAGGAGTAGTAGCAAAGGGTACTCAAATAACATTTGAACCTGTTCTTCCTACGTATACTTAATATATTTCACATAAAGTTCCTTCTAAGTTTATATAAGTAATATGAATATTAAAAGTTGAAGCTTTTAAAATCTGATCAATTATATACTTTGTACCTGATAAATTGTATCGGGGTCCATGATTCAAACTAAAGGAAATAACATAGGTAAGTTTTTTCAATATTTTTTAAACTTTAACTCCATAAAATACTTCGCTAAAATCGGAGTCATTTTGTATTTATGAAAAGCCCTTACAATTATATAAAGAAGTTCGAACACCATAAAACTAGTGGAATAGTACACTTCAGATAAAATATTTTGTGTAGCGTCACAAAAACTTGTTAATTTTTAAAGCTAAAACCTAATTAGATTAAAAGCTCCAATAAAATAAAGAAAGTTCGTATTTGGCTTCTTTAATATTCATAATGTTGGGACATGTAACCAAAAGCATTAGGACTTTTCTGTAATAAGATAAACACTTCAATGTTATTTAGGATTGTTCTATGTGTACACAAAACATTACACCCCCTTACGTGGAGGGGGTCCATAGACGATAAAATATTCGTGGGCCCTCCTCCATTTAATATCTAATAAGAGTTTATTTATTTCTATAAAAGATAATTGCAATATTTTGAGCATGCATAAAAAGTGCCATTGATTAATGAGTGAAATTTAATATATGGTGGTTAGAATAGAAATACTATCTTATATATTGATTGAAAAAAAAAAATACATTTACGGTCATAGAATAAGAGGTTGGTGTTGACACACTAAAAATGCAGCCCAAATCGAATAGCCCAGGAAATGAAGCCCAATTGAGGAATCCCCAAATCAAATAGCCCAAAGAATAAAGCCCAACTGGGCAATTCAAGATAAAGGCCCAAATAGGGTTATTAATGAATGTAGTGGAAGCCCACGAACAAAGTAACATCATCGCCTAAGCTTACAAGACGCCCAAGATCTGAGCGAATGAAGTGTCTTACAGTCGCCCAGAGCTATGACCCTGTTCTCGCCCAAACCTTCGAATCGCCCAGAATCTTAGCAAACATAAGATGTTATGGTTATCCAGAAGTGTAGTTTTTGAAGCAGTTATCGAGTAACCTTATCACGTTCCACGATTCAAGGAGTTCAGCTGAAGACGGTTGAACAACAAAGAGTAGTGGCAACAGTTAGAGACGGCAGTTCCACGACAAGTTAGCCACCATAAAGAAAGTGGGTAGTTATAAAGCAATCAAATAGTTTCTAAGCGGTTGATCACGAAGAAATCATCAAGGGAATATAAAAGGAAGAAAAGACATAGAGCAAAGGACCCCAAATCAAACACTCTCAAACAGAAAATATGTAATTTCAATTTCTTAGTTTAGACTTAAACATTTCTCTTCAGTACTCGTGTGCTTGCTCCCCTTGGAGGCATTCTGTTTAGTTCCAATTGTAAAGTCATCGCCAATAAAACACTCCTTTTTGGGACTTTGTCTCAAGAGGTTTGTTCCTTACACAATCGTCTGATCCCTTTTTAATTTTTAGCGACTGCCAGCGCGAAACAATTTGGCACGCCCAGTGGGACCTTGGTGTTTGGTGTTGAAGATACAAAAGGTGAAACAATATACCTCAGAAATCTGATAAAGAAGTAAGTTAGGGAGAAGTCCAGTCTGTGATCGAGCGATATGAGGAGCAGCTTAGCTCTCTACGAACAGATGGACAGAATCAGAGCAGTCATAGTCGTTACGAACCAATGACAGAGTTGAGTTCTCGAACTTTGCGTGCATTACTTGAAGAACTCACATAGGATGTCGTTGAACAGGTAAATCTACGAAATATTCACAATATGGAAAGACTTACCCAGAATGGAAATGCACATTATGATAACATGGCCAAACAACTGAATACTTTGAATGAAATAATGAATAAGTTAGTAGGCCAAATTTGTCGGCCAGTCGTACCTCTTACAAATCACTTCCAAACTAGGACAATTGTGGGACATAATCCCCCAGTCCTAAGTCCAAATCAAGGGGTAGAATCACCTTTTGGTCCCTCTACTTCAAATCAGGGGATGGTGTAATGCCAAATCAGAATGGTGGTAATGGTACATCTAACTTGGGGGGTAACTTAAACGTAAGAGACAATGTCCTAAATAATGGACAGAATGCCCCACGTATTAATGATGGGTTAAATATTCAGGCTAATGGTAACAATGACCCAAATCATGGCAACTTTGTTGCCAACTAAGGACCAAATATCAGGCCTCAAGCAAATCAATCGGTCAACCAACCTGTAGGAATTTCATATGACCCCAACGTCATGTTGAAGAATCAAATTATGGAAATAGTACAGGATCAGATGGCTTTTGGGGTACGTCCTGTCATTAGGCCGACTTATACAAAGTCATACCCTGATTGGGTAGACCAAGCATATCCATGGCCTAGAGGGTATAAAGTGCCAGAATTTTCACTATTTACCGGTTTAGGAGAGGTGTCTACTCTATAACACATAGGGAGATTCACACTGCAAAGTGGTGACGTAACTGATTACCCTAAAATGAGGCTGTTCCCTAATTTATTAACAGGAGTAGCTTTCTCCTGGTTCATCAATTTGCCAGCGAACTCTATTCAAACATGGCAACAATTGAAGCAATTGTTCCACGCTCAGTTTTATAAGATTGGGTCCGAAGTTACTTTGGCCGATTTGGCGAATCTACGTCAAATGCCAAATGATTGGACAGAAGGTTTCCTTCAAAAGTTCAAAACAACGAGAAGTAAATATTTTGTACCTTTGCCCGAAAAGGAGTCTGTCAAAATTGCTCAAGGTTGTCTAAACTTTGATTTGAAAAAGAAGTTCCAAGACAAGG